CATCGCCGATGCGGCGCGATCCTCCGACCCCAACTACTCCGACCCCATCTAGGAGGCCTCTATGTAGTGTCGCCGCCCTTAATTCGGGTGTTGGTAGAAGTGCCCCTGGCCCAAGTTGCCCACAGTTTTGTCGCTCCATCATGGAGCCTGTGGGGCCCCCCTTGGCCCAGGTAGGCGTGCTCTGGAGGCCGTGGGGGGCCGCCTTCGAGATCCTCGTGGCACCGTGGGCCAGGGCACTTCTGGCAACACCCGAGTCACGAGGACGTCTTTTTCCGTGGATGCTGAAAGTGTCGTGTATGCCAATGGTTTGTCGATTTCGATGTCCCCCCCCCGGCGTTGCTCCACTGTGGCGGGTGGCTTCTGAGACGCCGAAGGATTCCACATCTCTCTCTCTCTCTCTCTCTCTCTCGTCATTCTTGGAAATGCGCGACGGGCGGCGGCTCCGGCCCGAGGGAGATCCGAGTCCGCGCGAGAGCCGAGCGTCTTCGGTCGAGCTGCGGGCGGAGTGCAAGGCGAACGCCAGTGACGTGATGCCTTCTCCCTCGGGACCCCCCCTGGACTCCCGACTAGGATGTCGGCGGGCCGTGGCGACGCCCTCCAGACCTCCTCCCTCTGGATAGCCCTTGGACTCCTGACGCGATGCCTCCTCCCTGCGCGAACCCAGCCGTGGCGCCGCGGGCCCCCCGGGAGGCCAAGAAGCAACCATAGCACAACAGAGAGGATGATCCAGGCACGGCCTGCAGCTGCACAGCGTCGCGCGGCCTCTCGTCGCGAGCAGCCCGTGCATGGCGCGTTCGATCCAGACAATTGTTATACAGGAGTGGCAGGATGAGGAGGGGGAGTATGTCGGAAACTGGATATACCAGTGGCGTGTTGTTTTTTCAATTCCACGGCTTTTTAAGGGTCGCGGACGGCGTCGAGGTGGTGTGGTGTGTACTCTTCCCCCCCGTCTTCCAAGGGAAACAACGAAACATGTATACACCAGGATCTCCCATACACCAGGATCCGCGCTCCTGTGTATGAATTTCAGCGCAGGGTCGGAAAAAGCGTCGGTGTATATAGAGTTCGTTTCCCTGGTAGGAGCACGACGTGGTCCTAGAGTGGCTCCTCGGCGGCACTTGGGCGACGTCGGGCGCGCACGCCCGCAGACCCGCCCTCGGCTGTGGGGGGAGCGGCACAGAGAGGAGCACCTGATCCAAGGGCGCCCTCGAGGGCGCGAAGTTATTCGCGCTTCGCGGTTCGGCTCCGGTTCCTCCTCATCCTCCTTTTCTCCCCTGGGAGGCGGCGCGAGAGCGCGAAGTCATTCGCACGGCGCGCTCCGCGCAGCGCGAAGCGCACAGTTGGGAGCCCTTGTTTTCGTCGGCCCCGTCGAGCAGACCACCTGGGAGTTCCCCGGAGCTTGCAGGAGGACCCTGGAGTTGCTCTTGGGCGTTCTCCAGAGCGCAAGGCTGCATTCCGCAACCGCCGCCCCGCGAATACACCTCCCGCGCGCCCCGCGCGAAGATGTCCCGAGCGCTGGAGAGCGCCAACCTCGTCAGATCCGAGTCCATGGATATCTCCAACGATCCGAGGTGAGCGGAGGGGAATTGGATGTGCCCTTCTTGAGAGGGCAGTGCGAATCGTGCAGGATAGGAGGTTCCGCGTGCGTCAAGAGCGAGCTTTCATAGGTGGCCTTTGGTAGCTGCAGCAGATGGAGACGGTTCACCACAGTTGACTGGCGCAGATTGGCTTGATCATCCGGATGAGATTGACATTGCCGGAGGCCCAGAAAGAACCGAAAGAATGTGGTGACCCTCTGCCACTCCCCTCTGTCGGGAAAGGATCGAGAGTTGGGGGGGGCTATCGGAGTTTTACGGAGCACAGAAACGGAAAGAGCGCTTCAGAAACAGAAACCGAAATTACTCACACCACCGTTCGTACTAGGAGCCTTGGCGTTGAGAGCTTGTTACGTCACCCCTCGCTCTTGGGAACCTTGGTGTTCAGAGATTGTTGCGTTGCCGCCCGTTCCTGAGCCTTGGCTGGGCCTTGGTGTCAGGAACTTGTTACGTCACCGCTCTCTGCTGGGAGCCTTGGTCTTATCAGCTTGTTTACGTCACCGTTCGCTCTTGGGAGCCTTGGTGTGAAGAGCTTTTTGCGTTACCGATCGCTCTCTATTTGGCGTCTCTGGGCCTTCTTGGGAGTCCTATTGGGGCCCTTGTCGGGCCTTTTTGGAGGCCTCTTGGGAACCTCTTGGGGGCCTCTTGGGGCTTCTTGGGGGGCTCTGGGGGCCTCCTGGGAGCTTCTTGGGGCGAAAGGCTAGACTTTTCGGTTCGTGGTCCCCCTCTTGGGGCCGTCTTGGGGCCCTCTTGGGCCGTCTTGGGCGCCTCTTGGGCCGTCTTGGCGCCCTCTTGGGCCGTTTTGGGGGCCTCTTGGGAGCCTCTTGGGCCGTCTTGGGGCGGTCTTGGGGGCCTCTTGGAGCGTCTTCAACGCAGTGAAAGCCGAAAAGCCTTGTATGCTAAAAATGTACTTTTCCCAATCGGAAATCAATGATTTTCGCCTCCCGGTGGCCTCTTGGGACGCCTCTTGGGGGCCTCTTGGGGCTTCTTGGGGGGCTCTGGGGGCCTCCTGGGAGCGTCTTGGGGCGAAAGGCTGGATTTTTCGGTTCGAGGTCCCCCTCTTGGGGCCGTCTTGGCGCCCTCTTGGGCAGTCTTGAGCGCCTCTTGGGCCGTCTTGGCGCCCTCTTGGGCCGTTTTGGGGGCCTCTTGGGGGCCTCTTGGGCCGTCTTCGGGCGGTCTTGGGGGCCTCTTGGGCCGTCGTCAACGCCGTGAAAGCCGACAAAGCGCATATGCTAAAAATATACGTTTTCCTTTTTGGAAAATCGATGATTTCGGCTTCTTGGGGCCCTCTTGGGACGCCCCTTGGGCGCCTCTTGGGAGCCTCTTGGGGGCCTCTTGGGCCGTCTTGGGCGGTCTTGGGCTCTCTTGGAGCGCTCTTGGGCCGTCTTGGGGGGGAACCCAAAAAACATGCAAAAACCATGGGGAAAACCCGAAAACTGCCATTAACACGCAAATGGGCCCGCTACCCCCTCCCCTGGAACCCCTCCCTGTAGGGCTTCGCCCACACCAGAACGTCATCACTCGTACCTCGCTCTTTCCGTTATTCCACTAGGTCTCCGCCACTGGGGTTCCCCCATCGGAGTCCACCATGGGAGTCTTTTGTCGGATTCCCCCCCCATGGGACCACTGTTGGGCTGTCTTAATCCTCTTACTCTTCCCGCCCCCCACACGCACCCGTGGAACCGTTAGATCAGTTAGATGTGAGGAGTGAACTAATTCATTAGAATTTAACGGATAACGTTTGGGGGTCGATGATTGTTTCGGACGGTTGTTTTGTGGTTGTCCCGTGGTCTTTCCGCCGTTGTCCCGTGGTGGTATTGTCGTTGTCACGTTGTTCTCTTGTTGTTGTCCCGTGGTTGGCGCGCGGTTGCCCGTGGTTGCTGTGTCGATTGGTCGGAGGTCAGCGGCGGTGAGACCGAAGTGAAACATGAGGCGCCCCAACCGGGAAAGTTGTGGGTGACGCGCGTGCGTGCGAGGCGAAACGAAGTTGCGCGAATTCTTGCCCTTGCTTAGGGCGAACTAGGTCAGGCCAAAGCGAGTGGCCCCTTGCACTAAATCATGTCACCAGACTGCCCCCGCGTTGCCTCGCTGGTTGTTCCGATGGTTCTCCTGATGTATGGCCCGATGGTTATATCCTTGGTTGGTCCGATGTTTGTCCTGATTGTTGTCCCGATGGTTGTTCCAATAGTTGCCCCGATGGTCGTCAAGTTGGTTGTCCCGATAGTTGTCCCAATGGATGTCATTTGGTTGATCCGATGGTGGCCCGATTGCTGGTTCGATGGTTGTTCGGATGGTTGTCCCGATGGCTCTCCTGTTGATTGTCCCGATAGGTGTGTCGATGGATGGTTGCCGTGTTGTCCCGATAGTTGTCCCAATGGTTGTCCCTTAGTTGATCCGATGGTTGTCCCGATTGCTGGTTCGATGGTTGTTCGGATGGTTGTCCCGATGGCTGTCCTGTTGATTGTCCCGATAGTTGTGTCGATGGATGGTAGCCGTGTTGGTCGTCCCGATAGTTGTCCTGCTGGTTGTCCCGAAGTTTGTCCCGATGGATGCGCTGACGGTTGTGCCGATGGTTGTTCCGATAGTCGTCCCGGTGTTTGTTCCGAAAGATGAACAGGGGTAGTGCCAGTTAGACGGATAGTGAGACCCATGTATAGACATGCGATCGTTAGTGAGACCGATGGATCGTTCGGACAAATGTATTCTCACATACGGATAACTAACGTGTGAGACCAATCAATAGATGCTGGCCCAGCATATTTGAAGTAGACACATCGGTTGAAAACTCAAATCGGCAATGCGATACATGTGTTCCGCTTTACGAATGCATTTACCAGATGCATGGTGCAAGCAGGTTCTATAGATAGGTCGGAACATGGATCGGCAGAGGTGTATGTATACACATTTAGACGTCCACGTGGACAGTCAACCACATGTGTATTGGAGGTTATGGTGTGAGATCGAAGTGGAACAGGCACCCCCCACTGTAAAATCGGTGTCGGTTTCATGTTCGTGCCGTGCGTGTGGGCGAGACGATGTTGCGTGCGCGGGCGTGAGCAGGGGTCCCGCCGTTGCCATGGCGAAGTCGGAGCAAACAACTCTTCTCCTACCCGGTTGGCGGATTGGGCGCGGCGGTTCACGGTTTTCCCGTGGTTGTCCCGTAGGTGTCCAGCGGTTGTCACGTGGTTGTTTTGTGGTTGTCCCGATGGTGTTCACGACGGTCGTCCCGATGGTTGTCGCGAAGGTTGTCTCGATGGTTGTCCCGATGATTGATTGGTTGATTCGTAGTGAGACCGTTAGATGTTGGGGTTGGTAGACATAAAGCGACAAATCTGTTGACAGTAGGATCTATGTAAATGTAAATACACGTTGGGACACATAGACAGTGATATCGATGGATGGACAGTGGGATCGATGGGTCGATCAATATTGGGACAAAGCAGTTGGCTTCTAGCAATCTGTGTTGCGAAGTATATGTGGTGCAATCCATCCGTAGCCATTTTGGCTCAAGTTTGACTCGAGATCCTCAAAGGGGCTCCAGCCCAAAGTTCGAGCTGCCTTCGGCGGGCGCGCGGCCACCCAGCCAACATCGCGAGTCCAAGCCCCATGACCCCCAAGATCCTCTTGCCCTGCCTGCTCCTCGGCCTCGCGGAGGCTACCACCTACCCATCGTGCGACGCGACGACGACAGAAGCCTTTCTCGAAGAGACGACTGAAGAGCCAGCGCCGGACATCCCCTTGGAGCTCCAAGTTCAGGGCCAGAGCGGCAAGTTCACTCTCGTGCCGAAGGGCTCGTCGGGGGCCTCTGTTGGCATCCGCGTGACGATGGACGCGCTGAGGGAGGTGGACGCAGATGGCAACGAAGTGGGTACGTCTGGGGCTGTGAAGCATTCGATCAACACCTTTGCAAGCCAGGACTTCACGGTGGGCGATATGGAGACCGTCCGCATCGGCTCTGGAGTATCTGCCGCCAAAGTGTCGTTCGATTCAACCATCTCGGAGATCGGACGAATCGGCGTCGACACCTACGTCATGGCCCAGTCGGGAACGGTGGGGATGTCCAACGAGTCGTGGGACGTCAACATCGGAGACTTGAAGTGGAATATCCGCCTGTGGGACTGGACCTGGTGCGACGGCTCCAACTGCAAGCAGGGCCAGACCGAGCAGGTCGGCGCGTACGTCGAGCTCGACATTACGGTGCAGAATTTGGGGGGTGGGAGCGCCAACCAGGGCAGCGGGAAGTCCGTGTCTCTGGGCAGCAACGCGACGCTTGAGTTGTCGACGCAGGTGCAGAAAGATTGCGCGTGGGAGCAGCTGCCGGACGAGTTCCCGTCCATCAGCACCCAGGGCAGCCAGACCACCGTCACCTTCCGCTTCCCGCGCTTCGAGACCTCCTGCCTGTACGATCCCGTTCTGTCTGGCGCAGCGGACGAGATGGGTGTCGACGTCGACTCTCCCACCCCCGCCCCTGCACCCGGTGATGACGTGGCTGGCGCAGCCGCGTCGGCCACGCTCGGCGCCGTTGCGCTCTGCGCCTTGAGCGCGGTGGCGGCTTGGGCCTAGAGTCGCCAGAGAAGCGGCCTCCGACATTTTACGCTCAATGCCCCTATGCCTCAGCAGAATTGTTTTGAAATTCTTGGGTAGGCGAGACCCGTCTATTACGGGTCCGGAGAAAAGAGCGAAGTCTTTTGCTCCCGCCCCACGATCAGGGAGGCTTTTCCTCCTCGAAGCCATGGATGGGCGAGTGGAGTAGCTCGGGCTATACCTGTCGGGCCGGACGAAAGGGGGGGATTGGGAAAGGGGGGGGGTGCGAAATTTGCTGCATGCAGCTGGTGTCGGCCCCGCCGAGGGGTCCATTCTTCGACGCATGGCCGCCTCCCGGCGCCGGGAGGCGCCGAGAAAGTCAGCTACGCGAGCTGATTATCAAGCCCCGCCTTTGCTATCCCCCCCTTTCGCCCGACCCGAACCTGGCCGCGGGGTCAGGCTGGCGCCCGTCCCTTTCACGAGCCCGAGTTCGGCTGCTCGACGCCCCCCTCCGTGACGGCACGCGCTCCGCCCGCCAGCGTGGCAGCGCGTGTTTTTCTTTAATTTCTGGGTTGGACAGGCCTCCTACCCGGACGCGTCGCTTGAGGCATCGGCCGTGTTCGGTCTGCGAGAGGGCGTCGCGGCCGTCGTTTTGCGGGTCCAGGTCCGTCGGTTTCGGTCCCAGGCCGTTTTCTCTGTGGGGAGGTCTACTAAAGGGAGGTTTGTTCACCGCCGAGAAGAGTCCTCCGACATTTCACGCTCAATGCCCCTATGCCCCAGCAAAATTGTTTGGGAACTTCTGGGGTAGGCGAGGACCGTCTATCACGGGTGCGGAGGCAAGAGCGAAGTTTCTTGCTTCCACCCCACGATCAGGGAGGCTTTTCCTCCTCGAAGCCATGGATGGGCGAGTGGAGTAGCTCGACCTATACTTGGCCGCGGGGTCGGGCTGGTGCCCGTCCCTTGCACGAACCCGAGTTCGGCATCTCGACGCTCCCCTCCGTGACGGCACGCGCCCCAACCGCCAGCGTGGCAGCGCGTGTTTTTTTTTGTTTTTAATTTCGGGGTTGGACAGGCCTCCTACCCGGACGCGTCGCTTGAGGCATCGGCCGTGTTCGGTCTGCGAGAGGGCGTCGCGGCCGTCGTTTTTGCGGGTCCAGGTCCGTCGGTTTCGGTCCCAGGCCGTTTTCACTGTGGGGAGGTCTACTAAAGGGAGGTTTGTTCACCGCCGAGAAGAGTCCTCCGACATTTCACGCTCAATGCCCCTATGCCCCAGCAAAATTGTTTGGGAACTTCGGGGGTAGGCGAGGCCCGTCTATCACGGGTGCGGAGGCAAGAGCGAAGTTTCTTGCTTCCACCCCACGATCAGGGAGGCTGTTCCTCCTCGAAGCCATGGATGGGCGAGTGGAGTAGCTCGACCTATACTTGGCCGCGGGGTCGGGCTGGTGCCCGTCCCTTGCACGAACCCGAGTTCGGCTGCTCGACGCTCCCCTCCGTGACGGCACGCGCTCCGCCCGGCGGCGTGGCAGCGCGTGTTTTTGTGATTGTTTATTTCAAGACAGTGTGCACGAGAGGTTCTCCTAGTGATACGGCCTCTCAATCGGGGCCGCGCGTTCTCTGGGCGCCAGCGTGAAAGCGCGCGCAGCTCGTTGCAGGGCAACGTGCTCGAGAGTTGAGCTTCCGAAGCTCGTCATCGGGAAGTCTGGTTGGCCGCAATCTGTGTATATCAATGCACGTGATTCGAAGTATGTGGTGTAATATCGGTTGTGTGCTCTATGTGATGCAAGTTCTGTTGTGCAATCCTTGTGGTGCAGCTTATGCGGTTCAACATGCAGTGCAGTCTACGGAGTGCAGTCTAAGTGGTGCAATATGTGTGGGCTTATTTCACGTTGTGCATTATGTTTGGAGCAATACATGCGGTCAAATATATGCTTTGCAATATGTGTGGTGCAATATATGTTGTGTAACCCATGTGATGCAGTCTAGGCGGTCCAATATATATATGGTGAAAGCCATGCAGCGCAGTCTAATTGGTGTTTCCTATGTGGTGTCATCTATGTTGTGCACTCTTATTTGGTGCCATTTAGGTGGTGCGATTTATGATGTGAACTCCTGCGTGGTCAACCAATCCATAGTATGCAATCCATGTGGTGCAAGCTATGCGGTGCAATGTATGTCGTGCGAACTGCGTGATGCCATGTCTGTGGTGCAATATATATATATATATATATATATATATATAGATGTGCAGTGCAATCTTTGTGGTACAATATATGCGCTACAAACTTTGTTGTGTAATCCAGGGCGGCAACAAGGCTGCCACGGGGCGGCGACGGGTGCAACCTAGCCGCCAGACCGAGGGACCAGCCCACACGACGGGCGGCGACGAGGCGGCGACGGGGCGGCGACGGTTGCAACCTAGCCGCCAGGCCGAAGACACGGCCCAGACGACGGGCGGCGACGAGGCGGCGACGGGCCTGCGACGGTGGCAACATAGCCGCTGGGCCGCCAGACAGGCCCAGACGACGGGCGGCGACGAGGCGGCGACGGGACGGCGACGGCGGCCACATAGCCGCCAGACCGAAGACATCCCCCAGTTCTTAGAACACAGTGTTGCAACCAGGCGCATGAAGCAGAGGTCCGGAGCCAGATCCCCCCGCTCCCCCCCATCTTCCGCCAAATGTTGAAACGCCGAATAAGAAAACACTCACTATCGCTATGATGTTCCAACCTAATTTAGTCTTGACCACCAGAAAGAATTTCGAGCACCAAACAAGTACCGAAACCCGAGGGTTTTCCCGTGCCGGTCCCTGGGAAACACTCGCCCGACACTGTTTCGACATTGTTTCGACTCTCTTTCGACTTTCTCCTGGTTGCTCGAAATCGTTTCCGGGATGTGGTCTGTAAATGCAATGGGAGCAACATGACGTTATCGGGCGCGGTTGCGAGACAGGGTTCGAGCTAAACGGTGTTTTATTTTGGCAATTTCGTGGACCGTCTCCGTTTTGGCTTCGCTTTGCAGCAAACGTGGAACGAAGACAGAATTAGGGATGACGAAAACGAAACGAAAACGGACAACACTGTTTAACTCGAGCCCTGTGGCGAGGTTCTTCCAGGACAACGTGATCGACAAGAGGCTGGCGGCCTTCGGGATGCTCGCCATCGTGTCCGGGCTGATGGCGCCCGCTCCGCGCTCCGGCCGCTCTGGGGGGCCCCGTCGGGTGGCATCGGCGGGGAGCGGGCGGGATGAGGGGGAGGCGGGTCCTCCTCCTCCTCCTCCTCCTCCTCCTCCATCCTCCTCCTCCTCCTCCTCCCTCCTCCTCCCTCCTCCTCCTCCTCCTCCTCCTCCTCCTCCTCCTCCTCCTCCTCCGCCTCAAACCTCCTCCTCCTCAGTCCTTTTTTCCCGGAAAGGGCATAGGCCCAGGGTTCTCTTTTAGCCGTTTACCCCCGGATCTGACGGGTCAAGCGCCGGCGAAATTATTTGCGATAAATAACGAGGTAAAGTGCTGATTTTTTTAGAAAAAGTGCGTTTTGTGCGTGCCCGCTCGAGGAAAGTTCGCCCCCCATCTCGGATCCTCGATAAATAACGGGGTCCGCAGACCCCCGCTTTCCCTCGTAAAAAAGAGGGTGCGGAGCGTTTTTCGCAGAATCCTCGAAAAATAACGGGGTCTGGAGCCCCGACCGCGACTCGGAAAAGCGCCCCGCGCGCAGGAATTCCGAGGATGTCTCGCGCGTGCCGCGTCCCGCGCGCAGGAATTTCGAGGATGTCTCGACTAATTCGCTTGTTTTGTCAGGATTTCTTAGAACTTTGGCAGGATGTCTCGAGCGAAACGCTTATTTTACATAGTTTGTGGAGGATGTCTCGAGCGAAACGCTGGTTTTCGCAAAATTTGGAGATGTCTCGAGCGGGGGGCCAGAATTCAGAGGATGTCTCAGGCGAAATGCTTGTTTTCGTGTCCCGCTCGCGGGAATTCCAAGGATGTCTCGCGCGGGCCGCGTCCCGCGCGCAGGAATTTCGAGGATGTCTCGACTAATTCGTTTGTTTTGTCAGGATTTCTTAGAATTTTGACCGGATGTCTCGAGCGAAACGCTTGTTTTTCATAATTTGTTGAGGATGTCTCGAGCGAAACGCTGGTTTCTGCAAACTTGGGGATGTCTCGAGCGGGGGCCTCGTGGGGGGCCAGAATTCAGAGGATGTCTCAGGCGAAATGCTTGTTTTCACGTCCCGCTCGCAGGAATTCGGAAGATGTCTCGCGCGTGCCACGTCCCGCGCGCAGGAATTTTGAGGATGTCCCGTAGCGCGTCCCCTTGGCACGGCCTACGGTGCGACCCCATGGCACGTCCCTTGGCACGTCGCCTGGCGCGTCCCTGGGGACGTTTCGCGGCGCGTCCTCCTGGCATGTCCCCCTGTCAATTAGCTCTGGGGCAGCTACTATGTGTTCAGGAAGCTCGAGCTTCAGATCCAGATCAGTTCGGTCAGGACTTGGATGCAAAGGAAGACTCGCGCGCAGGAATTCCGAGGATGTCTCGCGCGTGCCGCGTCCAGCGCGCAGGAATTTCGAGGATGTCTCGACTAATTCGCTAGGTTTTGCAGGATTTTCCGTAGGAGGGCCAAGGAGAGGCCCCGAAGGCTCTGGGAGCGGCGACGACGACGACGACGACGACGACGACGACGACGTCTCTTGGGGTTCTCTTGGACGGTTTGTAGAGTCCACGCTTACATGATCGACGGGTCGAGGACAGCGCGACGACGACGACGTCGCGGTGGCGGCGGCGTCCACCACGACGACAAAGTCTCATCTTAGAGCCTTGCGTGGGGGGGTCTCTTGGGGTTCTCTTGGAGGGTCTCTGGAGGGTCTGTAGAGCCCACGCTTACACGATCGAGGGATCGAGGACAGCGCGACGACGACGACGACGTCGCGGTGGCGGCGGCGGCGACGACGACGACGACAAAGTCTCATCTTAGAGCCTTGCGTGGGGGGGTCTCTTGGGGTTCTCTTGGAGGGTCTCTTGACGGTTTGTAGAGCCCACGCTTACACGATCGAGGGATCGAGGACAGCGCGACGATGACGACCACGTCGCGGTGGCGGCGGCGGCGACGACGACGACAAAGTCTCATCTTAGAGCCTCTCGTGGGGGGGTCTCCGGGGGTTCTCTGGGAGGGTCTCTTGGGGGTCTGCAGAGCCCACGCTTACACGATCGAGGGCTCGAGGACAGCGCGACGACGACGACGACGTCGCGGTGGCGGCGGCGGCGGCGATGACGACGACAAAGTCTCATCTTAGAGCCTTGCGTGGGGGGGTCTCTTGGGGTTCTCTTGGAGGGTCTCTTGAGGGTCTGTAGAGCCCACGCTTACACGATCGAGGGATCGAGGACAGGGCGGCGGCGGCGACGACGACGACAAAGTCTCATCTTAGAGCCTTGCGTGGGGGGTCTCTTGGAGGGTCTCTTGGGGGTCTGTAGAGCCCACGCGCGGTGGCGGCGGCGGCGACGACGACGACAAAGTCTCATCTTAGAGCCTTGCGTGGAGCGGTGTCTTGGGGTTCTCTGGGAGGGTCTCCTGGGGGGTCTGTAGAGCCCACGCTTTCACGATCGAGTGATCGAGGACAGCGCGACGACGACGACGACGTCGCGGTGGCGGCGGCGGCGACGACGACGACAAAGTCTCATCTTAGAGCCTTGCGTGGGGTGTCTCGGGGTTCTCTTGGAGGGTCTCTTGGGGGTCTGTAGAGCCCACGCTTTCACGATCGAGTGATCGAGGACAGCGCGACGACGACGACGACGTCGCGGTGGCGGCGGCGACGACGACGACGACAAAGTCTCATCTTAGAGCCTCTCGTGGGGGGGTCTCCGGGGGTTCTCTGGGAGGGTCTCTTGGGGGTCTGCAGAGCCCACGCTTACACGATCGAGGGCTCGAGGACAGCGCGACGACGACGACGACGTCGCGGTGGCGGCGGCGGCGGCGACGACGACGACAAAGTCTCATCTTAGAGCCTTGCGTGGGGGGGTCTCTTGGGGTTCTCTTGGAGGGTCTCTTGAGGGTCTGTAGAGCCCACGCTTACACGATCGAGGGATCGAGGACAGGGCGGCGGCGGCGACGACGACGACAAAGTCTCATCTTAGAGCCTTGCGTGGGGGGTCTCTTGGAGGGTCTCTTGGGGGTCTGTAGAGCCCACGACGACGACGTCGCGGTGGCGGCGGCGGCGACGACGACGACAAAGTCTCATCTTAGAGCCTTGCGTGGAGCGGTGTCTTGGGGTTCTCTTGGAGGGTCTCTTGGGGGTCTGTAGAGCCCACGCTTTCACGATCCGACGACGTCGCGGTGGCGGCGGCGGCGACGACGACGACAAAGTCTCATCTTAGAGCCTTGCGTGGGGTGTCTCGGGGTTCTCTTGGAGGGTTTCTTGGGGGTCTGTAGAGCCCACGCTTTCACGATCGAGTGATCGAGGACAGCGCGACGACGACGACGACGACGTCGCGGTGGCGGCGGCGGCGACGACGACGACAAAGTCTCATCTTAGAGCCTTGCGTGGGGGGGTCTCCGGGGGTTCTCTTGGAGGGTCTCTTGGGGGTCTGTAGAGCCCACGCTTACACGATCGAGGGATCGAGGACAGCGCGACGACGACGACGTCGCGGTGGCGGCGGCGGCGACGACGACGACGATCCAGCGTAATCCAGGCCCCCAGCGAATCCGTGTGTTCTTACGTATGTGCCTATAGATTAGGCTTCCCAGGTCCACACGGCCCCCAAAG